AATCTCAGAATCTCAAAATCATAGAATTAAAGGATCTCAGAATATCAGAATCTCAAAATTGCAGAATTGCAGAACTTTAGAATCTGAGAATCCCAGAGTTTCAGAGCTTTAGAATCTGAGAAACTGAGAATCTGAGGATTTGAGAATCTTAGAATCTCAGAATCTCAAAAACTCAGAATCTCATAATCTTAGAATCCTAGAATCCCAAAATCTCAGAATCTCAGAATCTCAAAATTGCAGAATTTCAGAACTTTAGAATATCAGAATTCAAGAATTTCAAGAGAATTTAAAAACTTAAGATTCTCGGGATCTAGAAAAATCAAAATCTCACAATCTCAGAATTTCGAAATTCATGATTTCTGAACATTTCATTCAAAATTTCGAAACTTTTTCCCCAAAAAAATAGTACAGCTATTTTCAAAGAAGAGAGAAGAATTCCTTCACACCTTTTATCTTCCAAAAAAAACATTCTATTTTTTTTCGTCCAACTAATGTTCCACCGCTCTTATCGGTGTATGTTTCCCACTAGATTCAATTCTCCGATACCCTCGAAAAAACTCTGGGATAAAAAATAGTATATATTCAGGAGAGACGCAGAGAAAGAAACGTAAAGGAGGCAAAATTGATGAGGCTTGGGCGTGTGAGAATGGAATCTTTTGACTCAATGAACACCTTTTTACACCAGAGATAAATCAACCTAAACAAAGTGGAAAAATAGGGGGAAAATGAGAAAAAAGGCGATAAATGGCCACGCAGTTTTATGGGTTTTCTTCTAAAAGTTTTGTATGTTTTGTATATTTTATTTTTTCGCAAGAGTGGTCTTTTTCGGAGAAATTTTACCTTTGAACGGAGCGTTCAAAGTTTTGCAGAGAATTGAGGATTCCCAAAAACCTCGTAAACTGGAAATTTCAGATTTAGGAGTTTGAAAATTAAAAAATATCGGAAATGGGAAACTTAGAATGCTGAAAATTACGAATTTGGGAAAGCAGATGATTTCAGAATCTCAGTAAATCAGAATTCAAGAACTCAAAAATTTGAGGAATTTTGAAAGCCTCAAATTGTAATAATGCGAATTTTGGGAAATCCGATAATTCAAAATGTCAAATTTCAGAGTCCAGAAATGTAGAAAGCCAATTTCAGAATAGAAAAATTGGTTTTTTTAGTTTCTTGTTAAATTTCAATATTTCTGAATGATGTGAAAAAGCCTGAAAATCATGGGAAATCAAAATTCAGAGATGTTTTGAAACTTTTTGAATTTTGGAATTTTTAGAATTTCTCGAAATTTAAGATTCTCAGACTTCTTTTAGAAAGTCCAGAGGATCCAAAAATGGGAAACTTGTGAAAACTTGAAATTTCGAAAAATCAATTTTTCAAAATTTCCAAAAATCTGACGTTTGCCAATTTGGAATATTTTGAAATTCAGAAATTTGAAATTTTGAAAATTCCGAATTTTTAGAAAAATTTGCAAAAATAAAATTTCACACTTGGATAAATCAGAATTTTAAGATTTTGAAAAGTTTGAAATTTAATGCTTTCAAAATTTTGAGAAATCCGAAAAAAGTCCGAAATTCACTAAATTTCAGAGTTTCAAAAAGTCGATATATTATTTTAGAATATGGAAATTCTGAAAAACTAAATATTTTTTTCCGAAAACTCTGAAGTTTTTTCTCAAAATTCTAAAGCTCTCAAATTCCTATGTTGCCAATTTGCCGAGCTAAAAAACAGCTTCGGGAAGCAACTATGGCAGGGTTAACACAAAAAAGTTAAGAAGGATCACATAAATTTCTGGAAGATCGATTTCCAAAAAAAAGGCCCTTCTATTAGAGGTTTACCAGCCATATGTGTAAAAGTTTTCTAACCCTAAACAAATGGAACACGCACACATAAAAATAAACACATTAAAAAGAGAACACCCCCCTATTAAGGGGGGGGGGAGGGTCCGAGACACTTAATGATAGGGTACTATGGGGAAGTGGTGGTGTCTCTTGGTGGAAAAGAGGTGATGAAGACTGGTGGTCCCGCGTCTTTAATAGATTCTCACCAGACATACATACGGGCGGACATTAAGATAGAACATTAAAAGTGACACCCCTCAACTCATAAAATGACACATGGAACTCACTAAGTGCCTACCCCTCTCGGGTTCATAAAATGGTTTGCGGGAAATTTGAAAATTTTTGCACTATTTGAATTTTCAAAATTAAAGATTCTACCGTTATAGAACTGTGACATGATGGAACTATTATATATTTCGTATTTTTTTAAACTTCTGTCAATGGATAGTTGACATGTTTTGGCGGGGAATTGGAAAAATTTTGAATAAAATTGGAATTCGTCATAAAAACTTCTAATTGGGAAAAGACTTGATGACTCGGTAGATTGAGAAAACGGGAAATTTGGCTGGCAGAAATCTGAAATTTCAAAGGTTGAGTTATTTTAAAATTGAGGAAAAAAAGCAATTTTTGAAGGAGATAAGAAAAAAAAATATATTGAAATGAATTAGGAGATTTATAACAAATCTCAATAACATTGTCAAATTTTCTCAGAAATCTTATATCACATGAAAACTAAACTAAAACATATGTACATAAATAATCACATATTCAGTTTTCTTATTTCCCCCTTTCATATCCCATCATAAATCAGTTTGAACAAAAAGAGAACAAGTTTTGTACAGATATGTACAATCTTTTCCTTCTCTTTCTATTCCCAACTAATCCGTTTTGTTCTTCTTTTTTTTGTTGTCTTTTTTTGCTGATCCGTTGAGAAATGACACTAATAATAACAACATAGAAAATCGTATAATTGTCCAAAGAGATGATTTGGGAGTTTGGTCAGCTAGTAAAATGGATATGTAGACAAAATTAATCCGCTTATTATTGGATTTTTTCGCACATTTTACAACGATTATGCCAAAAAAATACAAATCCTGTTTTCTGGGTTACTTACCCTGAAACCTTTAATAGAAGGGCCCTCTAACTATGCACTTTGGCTCTACTTTTCCTGTCAAAGATATCAAAAAATTGTCAGCTGTTAAATTTTTTATCATTTTATCAGAAATGTTTTGTCAGTCGACATTTTTTCATATATTTTCATATCTTTGATAGGATCTGAAAAAATTTGGCTCAAAGTTACCAGTTAGGGGTGCCCATCTATTGCAGGTATTATGTCTGAAACAACCTCACACAGTGAGAGAGAGAGAGGGAGAAGGTTAAGCGCCGCAAGGTAAAAGTTTCAAACTTAATTATTTATAAAATCTAAATGAGCATCGAAGGTGTCTCAAACTACCTGAATAAACATGCAACACCCCATAAATATTCAAATTCTCGAATAGGGAACGTCTTCTGAATTCGCACACCTCCAAGAGAGTGGGACACTAATGGAAACAGCTTGTTTCTGAGAGAAAAGGGGTCTCTCCCAGTCAACATTCTCGGATTTATGGGTTCCTCCAAGAGGTTCTAGTAGAGAAAACGAAGAAGAAGACATGCTCTGTGTAGTGACTGGTGCTCAGGACCACCACATAATTATCTTGTATGAGAAGAACAAGCTAACGGAGCACACGAGGAAAAAAAAAGAAGGAGTGGAAAAAGTTAGCTCAAATTGACTGAAAAATATCAGGATTTGACTGAAAATATGGCCAAACTTGGTTTGAAATCAGCTTGAGATTATGAAAATATACTTAAAATTTCGTAAAAGGATAAAAATTGAAATTCTGAATGAAAAAACTATGAAAATGGCTGAAAACGACTGAAATTGAATGAGGATCGATTTGAAACAATTTTGGCTGAAATAGCCAAAAATTAACCTGAAAAAAGAGGTGTGGCAGACAAGAAGATATGTTAGCAGGGTATTGGATAGATGGAAAAACAGGGAATTTGATTGGCGGGAAATTTGAAAAATTGGGAACGGAAAAACATCAAAATGTTTGTTTTGGAGTTTTTCAATTTTTGAATTTATGAATTTTCGAATTTCAGGATTTCAGAATTTCAGAATTTTCGTATTTTCGAATTCCGAAACTTTTGAATTTTCTAGAATTCAAAACTTCCACAACAACAAAAAAACTGGAATCTTGAGAATGAGATTTTCCAAAAAAGAGATCTCCGAAAGATTTTCCAATTAATAAATCTTGCCGTTTTCTGTATTTTTTTGTTGTCTCCTTACTTCTCCAAGGACATTTATCGCTCATTTTCGGCAAAATGAGGTATTGAGAGTGCAAGAAAAAAATTAGGAAAATAAACCTTAGAAATTCGGAGATTCGAGAGTTTGGAAGTTTGGAAAATTATAAATTCCGGAATTCAGAAATTCCGGAATTCAGAAATTCAGAATTCAAAAATTCAGAAATTCAGAAGTTCAGAAATTCAAAAATCAACTTTTCTAATGTATTTTCAAAAAAAAAAACTCATAATTCGAGATTTTTTTTCAAAAGTTAGTGTATAAAACTTATCAAAAAACAACTTCCTTCCTAAATCAGTGGGCGTGAGAAAATGACCACTTTATAGAAGAAAAAGAGTACTTCAACTGACCAGTAAAAAATCGGAAAAAACCGGCGGCGGCTTGGGACAAAAAAAGAGAGAAAGAAAATGGACTGAAAAGAAGAGGTAAATAGCAAAGTGATGGGAAAAAAACGGGGGGAAAATAAGCTATTTTGGAAAAAAGGAGCAAAAAAAAAACAAAAAAAAGAGGTGGATAGGGGGGAGGGGATTCTCAATTATACTAGTAAGAGGATTTGTGTATTTTTTCTTTCTTATTTACAAATTTTTTGTTTTCTTGTTTTGCAGATTCGCTGTTTTTTTAAATTGTACACTTTTTTTAGGGGAAAGAGGATTTTTGGTTTTTTTTTTTTTGAAAAATATTTGTCAAAACAAGACTTGCTATTCTGAAAAATCTCAAAAACTTTATCTGAAAACTTGAGAAATGAAAGAAAAAATTCGAGATTCTGAGATTCGGAGACTCTGAGATTTTGAGATTTTGAGATTCTAAGATTCTGAGGTTCTGAGATCCTAAGGTTCTGAGGTCCTGAGATTCTGAAATTCTGAGATTTTGAGATTTTGAGATTTTGAGATTTTGAGATTCAGAGAATCTGATATTCTAGGATTCGGAGATTCGAAGATTCTGAAATTCTGAGATTCTGAAATTCTGAGATTCTGAGATTCTGAGATTCTGAGATTCTGAGATTCTGAAATTCTGAGATTCTGAGATTCTGATATTCTAGGATTCGGAGATTCTGAGATTCTGAGATTCTGAGATTCTGAGATTCTGAGATTCTGAAATTCTGAGATTCTGAGATTCTGATATTCTAGGATTCGGAGATTCTGAGATTCTGAGATTCTGAGATTCTGAGATTCTGAGATTCTGAGATTCTGAGATTCTGAGATTCTACGATTCGGAGATTCCGAGATTCTGAAATTCTGAGATTCCGAGATTCTGAGATTCTGAGATTCTGAGATTCTGAGATTCTGAGATTCTGAGATTCTGAGATTCTGAGATTCTGAGATTCTGAGATTCTGAGATTCTGAAATTCTGAGATTCTGAGATTCTGAGATTCTGAGATTCTGAGATTCTGAGATTCTGAGATTCTGAAATTCTGAAATTCTGAAATTCTGAAATTCTGAAATTCTGAAATTCTGAAATTCTGAAATTCTGAAATTCTGAAATTCTGAAATTCTGAAATTCTGAAATTCTGAAATTCTGAAATTCTGAAATTCTGAAATTCTGAAATTCTGAAATTCTGAAATTCTGAGATTCTGAGATTCTGAGATTCTGAGATTCTGAGATTCTGAGATTCTGAGATTCTGAGATTCTGAGATTCTGAGATCCTGAGATTCTGAGGTTCTGAGATTCTGAGATTCTGATATTCTGATATTCTGATATTCTGAGATTCTGAGATTCTGAGATTCTGAAATTCTGAGATTCTGAGCATCTGAGATTCTGAGATTCTGAGATTCTGAGATTCTGAGATTCTGAGATTCTGACTTTCTGAGATTCTGAAATTCTATGATTATAAAATTCAAAAAATTCCAAGATTCCAGAATTATGAAAATCCAAAATTGTCTTTTTTTTCCATTCATTTAGCATCCCACACAACCCAATCCAATTCGTCAATCATTACCCTCATTACATTACATTTTCTTCTTATACTTTTTTTCTTTTTTATTGACTCTTTTTAACCCATTAATTGTACATTTTGGAGGAGCACGCACATTTGTCACTTCTCTGCGAACGTTTGTGAGTATTTCAATGATTTGGCGCCAGATATTTTTTTCGAATTTTTTGTAAAATACACTTCTTAGAATTTGTTAGAATCAAGTTTTCTGAAGCTCAGAAAAGTTTTTCTCAAATTAAATCTTTAAAAAATTGTTTTATTAGAATCTCAGAACCTCAAAGTTGGAATTTTCACAGTCTCGAAATTCAAAAGAACAAGAATTCAGAAATTCAGAAATTTGGAAATTCCAAAATTCAACATTTTAGAAAATGAATATTTCAGTGAATTTTTCAAATTCCATTTATTTTCCAAAATTTCAACTTTCGAAATTTTTTTTCAAATTTCAGTTTTTTAAAAAAATTTCAATTATCACAATTATTTTGTATACATACATTCATGCTGTTTGTACAACTTTTCCTATCCGTTAGCTCAAAAATTTTCTTTTTTTTTGAAAAATATTTAGCAGAAACTAATAGAAGAGCGTCAGTTGTTGCTCTTCCGAAAAGTGTTGCCTCGAGAAACAAGAAATTCGTCGTTTTTCTTCTTTTTTCCTTCAAAATGAGCCGACAAAAAGATAGTGTGGAAGGCTTGTGATTATTTCCGTTTTGTGGGTCCCATCCCCAAACTTTTCCTTTGATCCCTTATTTTTTGGCACTTTTTGGTTTTTCTGGGTTTTCTGACCTTGAATAAACCCGAAAATGTAGTAAACCGAAAATCCCGGAATTCAGAACTTAGGAATTTTAGAGTTCTATGGAATTTACTCAAAACATTGAAGACATTGAAACTTTTTGCGATTTCTAGTTTTCTGACTTCTAAAAACCTGAAAGTTCTAGAATTTTTAAAAGTTTGAATCTCAGAATCTCAGAATCTCAAAATCTCAAAATCTCAGATTCTCAGAATCTCAGAATCTCAGAATCTCAGAATCTCAGAATCTCAGAATCTCAGAATCTCAGAATCTCAGAATCTCAGAATCTCAGAATCTCAGAATCTCAGAATCTCAGAATCTCAGAATCTCAGAATCTCAGAATCTCCGAATCCTAGAATATCAGAATCTCAGAATCTCAGAATTTCAGAATCTCAGAATCTCAGAATCTCAGAATCTCAGAATCTCAGAATCTCAGAATCTCAGAATCTCAGAATCTCAGAATCTCAGAATCTCAGAATCTCAGAATCTCAGAATCTCAGAATCTCAGAATCTCAGAATCTCCGAATCCTAGAATATCAGAATCTCAGAATCTCAGAATCTCAGAATCTCAGAATCTCAGAATCTCAGAATCTCAGAATCTCAGAATCTCAGAATCTCAGAATCTCAGAATCTCAGAATCTCAGAATCTCAGAATCTCCGAATCTCAGAA